CGTGACTTATGGAATAAAGCACTAGTACAAGAGACGAGAAATTCGAAACGAAATTTGTACTATAATTATATTAATTTTTAAAAACAATTTAAAATTTTTATTATTTTACAATGATTATTTAAAAAAGTATTCTATTATCAAACTAAAACCTTAATTATGCTATACTATTCTTATAATGTGTTTACTATTCTGAAAATTTAGATTTTAATTGAAAAATTTTATTTAAAATATTTGAAATAAAAATTGACTTAATAAAACAAGTTTTTATTCAGGTGATATCTGTCTGTGTAAAAGTCTGCATCTATAAGTAAGTATTTACAGTAGGTATGTAGATATGTACAGACCTACTTAAATATACACTTCAGTATGGTAACCGGTAAGTAACACCTACCTTTTCTGTGTATGCAAATATTTTGTATTAGGTTGTCGGTAGAGATTGTTTAAAGCGATAAGTCCGTCTTTTGTATTGTACATTCTGATACAATGTTCTTTTCTATTTATTTTTTGCACATTAAACTAGTTTTATTAGTAGGTATTTAATAAAGCAATATTATGATGTTTACTAATCAGAGATGCTACGGTAGTAGTTCGGATCCTGGTATTGGATTCTTTTGTAATCAACAACTAAATATATTTGGTAAAATGAGGACAAGTAGAGTTGGAAATGTATTTTACTATATGCAGTTTGGAATTTCAATACTCATATACTGTCAAAGAAGCTTATGTTTTTGATTAAAAAATACACTACTTATTTTTTTAAATAAAAATATCGATAAGTAAACACTAAATTAGTATTTAACAAAATTTTTTTGCAATATTTTGTAGCTTATTTTTAAGAGTGTTTAACATTCGTGTTTGCCTTCTTAGTTGGCACAAGTGCATTATGTCACAGGGGGAGTACTTTGAAGGGGATATAATTGATTTACCTGAATAATTGTAAAATAAAATTTTTAAAAAACTTTTATACGTACTTTCCGGACAAACCTCGTATACTGTCAAAGAAGCTTATGTTTTTGATTAAAAATACACTACTTATTTTTTTAAATAAAAATATCGATGAAGTATTTATTTTTTTCGCTTAAAGTGTTTAACATTCGTGTTTGTTAGCAGGGAAATTTTTATGCAATCATTCTGAAATATCGAAAATTGTTAAATTATTTTTGAAAATTAACAAAAAATTGCGACGTTGCCATAATTCGGTAAGCTAAAATTATGAACGCCCTAAATTAATTTATCTAAATTTATAAATGTAGAAGTAATTAGATAAATAAAAATGTAAAATTAGACATGTTTATGACTATAATCCCTAAGTTTCCAGAGTGGTTAGAAGCATAATGTCGAATGAAGTTGTTTTGGTGAACTTAAAGACTGTCAACGTTTTATGAGCGAACATATTAAAGTCGTAAAAAGTAACTAAGGGAGCTAATGGTGGAGAGATGAGCAGCAGTGCCTCTTTTAAAACATCACCAAAAATCAAACTGCGGTTGCCAACCCGCCTGCCAAGCGTTGCATCTACTGGCAAAACCCGTATGAGGGAGGCCTGTGTTCAGTTGACAGTTAACGGCTGATAGAATTGGGAGTCTAAGATGCGACTCTATAGCTTACAAATATAAAATTAATTATAATAATATTATATACATAAATTAAATTATATTTTAATAATTCAAATTGAAATATATTTTATTTCATAATAACATTTATATTTTTTAACATACAATGACGATAATTATGCCCAACAATGATGTAAACTTGGATCGAATGATCACGAATAGTGACGCAATCTTTAGTAGAAGCCGGATTTTTATTTATTTAAGAAATCTTTTAATTCTTCACTATGAAATAAAATAAATTAATATGCTCATAATGGTAATACCTGATCAGCAGGTCTTCCCTTGAATCCAATATCGATATCGATTCAATCTATTGCCAATGACAACTATACTGCACTCATGAAATAACAGTTAGGAATAAGGTGAAAATTAGAATTGATTTGCATTGAAAATTTGCACTAATATCCATCTGTCAGAACAATATGGAACCATTATGTTGCCAGTATTACAATTCGATAGTCCGAAACGTTTATTAATACGAATATCGATCTATTGGAATTTATTTTAAGAGTAACCCCACAGGTAGTCAGAGCTTTTTACAAACCGTACCGTTGTAGTAAACGTAATATTCGATTTAAGCCCATATTTCAACGTGGCAAGAGGCGATATTACCGCCATTATTGGATAACATTTAAATTGTTAACGATGTTTTCTATTATCAGAGAATTATTGGGAAATTTAAATTGTCACAATTTTTGGTGTCGCCCATATTCGAATTAAAGATTTGAAGTAGAATATCGCTAGTCATGACGCCGTTATCTATTAACAAAGGTAATAGTTAAAGATTTTAATAGATATATATTAATACATTGATCATTTTAATTTATAATAAATAAATAAATGTATAAGATATGTTATGACATAGTTTAGCGAAGCGATAGCGATAAGAGCAAAATGGCTAAATAAAAATAAGAGAATTACTATTGCGATGGTCTATCTGTTTATATCTCGGCATTATACGCACTATTTAATGTCTTATTCTCAGTTTTTAAAGACTAGGCAATCAAATACCAATGGCCTTTGTCCACGTATCTTATTTTGTGCAATTTGATAATTCATCTCATGCACGATCATGGAGACTGAATAAATGTTGAGCACATAAACACAGAAACTTTAGCACAACAGTGAGCATTTCTGAATTTAGATTTTTTGGCAATGCAAATGTTTGTATTTTTTCTAAATTCCAACAATAATTCACTCAATGTTGTTACGTTTTGTGATTTTATTAAACAGTAGAGGTTTATACAACTTAAATACTTTTTATCAATCAATCGATTGCTTTATTTGCTGAATAAAAGTGTTACAAAGATTGTACGAGTGATAAATAGTATTCACTTTATATTCTGCCCTGTATCGGCGTGCAATTTATTTTAACAATAAGTAGGAAGTAACGTAGTAACTATTGGCAAAACTCCCTCATTAAAGGGATGATGATGAACGTAGCACAATAACATTAATCAATATTTATAAATGTACCCACATTATTCTTCTTTCTTTAACAATATATAACTATTTTTCTGTTCAATACAACCTACGTAGATAATAACATACATCTTTAGCATTTTAACGAGAATAACATGGAATCAATTTTTAAAAATACCTATAATTTAAATAACAAGCTATGATGATGGCATCAACATAATGTACAGGAAATATTGTCTTTTTTGTATAGTCACGATTTGATTGGTACGATTATAGCTATTCTGGGATTGTGTTTTAAGAATGTTTTTTGATGATTTAATCATAAAGAATAGTAAAGTAAGACAATTTGATATATCAAATTTTAATTTACTTCTCTGTTTATATTTTTCTTTTTATTTTTATTTTATATAACAGAACAAATATTAAGTACTATAATTTATTTTATCCTTGTGCTTGCTTATACTTTTTTGACGTATTCTAGTGCTTGATTCAAATTTGCAACTTTATATTGTTATAATTTTTTAAATATTTCTGACCATGATTAGTAATTTTAAATTATACCTAATCTATTATTCTGTATTCTACTGTATTTACAGTTACTGTAATAGGCAGTTTAATAAACGAAAAACAATTATACGAATATAGGTCTCAATCGGATAAATACGAGAGAGGAGGTATAGATACCAAAATTTGTCGGGATAAATCTGGCTGGTACAGTAAAAAGCAATAAGCTACTATCATGAGAGTTATTTGCTATTATAAATGAAGTTCATCTTACAAGAATCATAATAGAATTTGCTCTGCATAAAGAGTTTAATAGACCTTTTGCGTTGAACACTCTAGTACATTTATATCGGCGAGATTTTAAATACGATATCTTTGAATGCAATACCTTGAAAGCGAGTTCGGCTCACATTTGCCAGATTTAATTATATGTTATATTAGCTAAGAAAAACACGAACGTTACCTCAGAAGTTCACAACGCCTATTATGTTTATATCTTCCCCCATTAAACAATTTGCCACCAAAACAATAGATCTCAAACTGCGCAAGAGTATATTGTAGCTAGTTGGTTTCACAAACTACTGCAATTTAGCTAATTGAGTAGAGTCACAAAGTCATTACCGCTTTTGAATACTGGCTGATGTTTGAATCACGCTAATGAGATCATTATTTTGTAGTTAATACAAGTTAATAATGTAAAAAAGAACTGTCAGCACTTTTAACATTTCAATACTTCTAAAAGTATAATTATATTTTTTATATAAACGTCTTTGTACCTATAATGGGTATGTGTAGTTAAAGATTAATTAGGAATTTTACGTACACTATTAATTTTTAATTTTTTATAATAATATAAATTGTTATGCGAGTTGGTTAAATATCAATTTGGAGACTTTATTTCCATCTTTCTTTTATAAATATAATTAAAAATTGTGTATTATGTCATACATAATTATGAAAATCGGTTTAAAACTGCAAATTTTTTAACATTTAACAATTATTTATTAGAGATTTTACACTTTTATAAAGAAGAGGGTTTCTTAGCAGTTGTCTTTTAAGTAGGAAGCAAAAAATAAAAAAATAAAACTTGAAAAAAAAATCGTATAGGATCAACATGAGACTTGGGAATAAGAAGCAGGATTTTGTACTGAAAAATGGTGGTTTCAATCGTTACTAAATTTATATGGGTCATAAACATAATCAGTATGTAATCATCGAAATCAAAGAAATCGAAATCGAAAAAAAAAGCGTAATATGTACACAAAACTAATTAGTCGAATTAGCTTTTACCCACAAATTCATCTATGTATATGATATATATTATGACTTTCTTCATTTTTAATTGGTTAAGACTTTAAGGCACTAAGAAGTAACAAACAAACAAAATCACTCTCTCATTAATTATTTTAGTAAGGATTGAAAACCTTTTTCAAATGAGTTGATAAATGTTAATACTACACTTACCGCTTGTACTATGGTTGTCATGCTGCCTCGCGTAGTCATTTCTCTCAGGTGATGGTGCCAAGTCGCTGCCAATACCCGAACTTCCCCCGGATGACTCTAGCTTGCGTCTTGCATTCACCCCCACTATGTTTTGGTTGAGACAACGTCGTGTATCGATATTGCTCAAATTACCCTTCTGTCGATGAACAGTGTCGTAATCTCTGGGTGGCAGTAATATTGGACTTTTGCCTGGAAAATACCAATATTATTAGTTCGATATATGTATATCGACTTCTTATGCTAAATAGCTGAAAGCATATATCAGCACCTATCATAACATTGATATGTAAAGAAATACATATTTGTGAGTAGATTATATTTGCTAATATAATATTTTATTTATGCAATACAAAAGCCACATAAATTGTTTATTTATAAATATATTTTTATAGAAATATGTAAAATACTTCTTTTAAAATGCATACATTTTAATGTTCTCTTTCACTAGGAACATTAAATTTTTTAGCAACTGTCAAATGTAAAATATAGGCATGGACAGAGTATATACTTTTTATGTTACATTAGTAATAGAATTTTTAGAATTAAAAAAAACAGCTTTTTTCTTTTTTTTGGCATTTGTGCGTTGTAACATGGTGTGAATAACAACTGATATTTTGACAATTTTTACTATAAAATATGGTGAGTAAAATATAATATTTATTTATCTATTGAATCTCTGTAATACTATAAAGTTTTAATTACTTAACATCTGCATTATGCTATAACGCATTACTTAAAGCATAGTCAATGACAAATAGAAATTCTATGATTTTTATATTAGGTACAGGAAACAGAAAACAAAGAAACATCTACTTGATGGAAAATAGTAAACTTTGCTATACACATGAATACTGTGGTTATCATAGAATCCTATGGAAACCTAGTTTTAAATATACTATATTCTAAAATTTTGAGTTTTAAGCGATCTACTCTAGTATTTAAAAAGGAATAAATTCAGAGTTAATTTAAGTGTATAGGAAAGTGTTTTTTTTCTTTTGTAGATAAAATGTAGAACAATATGACTCTTTTGTAAAATCTTATTATTAATTTTAAATCTAAGATTAAAATAATTATGCTCACAACTTTGTTGATATTTCTTATATAGTTTTATTTAATAATAGAGAGAGATATTAAATGAGAATTAGTGACACTAAAAATATGCAGGTAGGCCTCTCAAAATATTTTTTTGCAGGTCTAGCAAGATGCGAAGCGCATGTCGCATACTAATAAAGTGTATGTATTTAATATATATTACTTATATACATACCCATAAAGCGGACATTGTGCACATACATACATAATTGCGTGGAAGCGAACACCTAGCTAAATATGAAAAATGGACTGACCTATTCCTTTTTTACCTGTTGACAGTTTTTGCTTAAGTTCTGCAGCGAGACTATCGTATAGGTTGGCCACACATCGTTCTTCATTGCTCCCAGAGTCTGATTCTCTTGACACTTCACTTCCTAGTGATGAATCTGGTGGTTTCTTTGTAGCAGGCAGAGCACCTCTCATCTGTAGTTTGCGTTCGATGTCGGCGAACTTCTTTTGGTTTTCCGGCCGCTCAATAAGGGCTTGGAGATGGGAGTACAGCATTTTTGCTGTGTTGTCGGAGTCACATCTGTGGAGAAGTAGTTTAATATTAGCACAGAGAATATTACTTATGAATACAAACGGAGGCTTTAAGAGAAATTGCTGCAATTTATTGAAATAGTGAGTTATGTCATAGAGTTAATTAATATTACACTCAATCAAAAAATATAAACATTTTGAATAATCCTAGTTCTTTGCGGTATAAAGCACGTATAGCAAGCAATATATATTTAGCAATATATTTTATTATATTAGAACCTACTTTTACATTTTCTTACACGTGAGAGAATATTTATAGTTTGTGTTTTTGGCTCTATGTTAGCTTCAGAGCATTTTTCTTGTAATACTAAAAAAAATCGAATTTAATTCCTTTTTCCTATAATCTAATATGTGTATCTATTTAGCAATATAATTTTACATATACCTATAGCTATAATAATAACATTAAATTACCTATTGACCTACATGTAACGATATACTTATACTTTTATTAATTTTTATTTCTAAATTTATGAAACGCCTCACTCAATGTCACGCTTGTGCTATGAGTAGATATATATAACGTCAATTATGTTTATGCAAGTACTTATTATTATAAAGAGTACATCGCATTCGTGACATGTCACGGCATGCCATAGGTACTGAATGTCAGTGAGTGGTTACAACTAAGTACCTAATGTCAAAAGTGTACAATTAGGTAGTGGTTTTGCTGTTGGCTGGCCTCCCATGTCTAACTTACCATTCGCATTTTATGTTACTAATGGGCACTCTTTATTAGTAAGCTGCCTTCTGTAATTATATAGCGATTTTTAAGAACGAGGACTATCGGTCACATTACTAACAATATATTTTGTCGTATGCACATCTACGCGGTCTCGTAGACACCATTGTAATTTCGTTGTAAAACTAACATATTATTAAACAGACTATTAGTAATGAGACCTAACAGCTCTATAGCAGGGGAAAGCCTATTTTGCCAGGGTGATCTCAACGTAATTGTGGTATTCATTACAATGGACTAACTGACTTGCCTTTTTATTCTCACCTATCATTCCACACTGGTGCCCCGCCAGCGTAAACCGTTGGCGCAGGCGGGATTGCCATTTTATTATCATTCAAAAAGAAATATCGCCCATAGTAGATGGAAAGGATTGTTAGTAATGAGAATCTAACAGTCCTATTGCTAAAAATATACCCTATCAGGTTGACCTTCACGCGGTTCTCCCTAGAAATCACCGTAGTTAATTGTCGTTGAATTCACCATGATGGTTCAATTGACCGGCTTTCGTCCTCACCTCATTGGTGCTCCACCAGAGTATACCGATAGCGCAAGCTGGGGTTTTTTTTATACAACTTAGAATGGCAAACAAGTTGACGGCTCACCTGATGGAAAGTGGTAACCGTCGCCTATAGACATGAGCAGTACCATGGACATAACATGGTATACTGTTTCGCCCATAATACCTCCCATGCGTTGCCATTACTGAGGACTCAGGTGTTATTCCTCTGTACCCTGTAAATTCACGCTATAAACCCACCCTTCAAACCGAAACACAGCCATGCAAACACAACTGCTTTACGGTTAAAACACGAATGGGACAGAGGTACTCAAGCAAACGACTTTTGTACAAAGTCTCCCTCTGGTTATTTCATTAATAATTTTCAGTAATAATTACTCATAATGAAATGTTTGTCCTATTATTTATATAACCTATGATTAGCTACTTAGGCTACTTACAAGACAAACTGTGTGGGCGAGACGGCCGTCACCTCTCTATGACATATGGTACTATGTTATACGAAATACTCTTGTACAAGAGAGTACATGGATATTTTTGCAATACCAGTGAGGTGACAGCATTAACATTATAAAGGTAAATCGTTTTTGACGCGTATGTCGTAAGAGAGACTTCAAGCGATTGAGCATGAACTATTGAGCATGTACGCTCAGCTCAGCTGAGTTAAACGCCCATGGATATATTTGGGCCCTTGCTATTAACATAAAATGCCATTAACGTGACGTTATAACGTTATGTAACAGTTGTGTATCTTAACGTTACTATAAGCACGAGTTACATTGTTATGTTAATAAGTGCTCCACTTATTGTTTGAACTTGTTTTCGTTTCATAAGCCTCTTAATGATATTTGAGTTGCAATGCCATAAGTGCTTTATTTAAATTTGTTGCCGCCCACATTGGAATTTATAATGCAGAGCGTCTGCATTATCAAACGTTATTAGGAATACTAATAATCTTTTTATAAGGATTTAGTTGGATGTGTGCTTTTAAAAAAATACATATTGTTGAATATGCAATGGTGCTCCGTTTTATTTTGCATATATTATAACTTAACTATTCGATTTAAATTACATAATTTAATAAATCAAAGAAACGATTCATTTATATGTATAATTTAAGATTTCCGCAAAAAAAGCTTAAGAGTAATTTATTTGTATTAAAAAAAAGTATTAAAATTGTTACAAAGAGCTTCTTGACATGCACACACAAAAAATACAAGAAAATTATGGCAAGGACCTTCAGAACTAAAATTGTAAAAGCGGGCATACTTATATATCAAACACCACATCAAGATCCTGTAATAATAATATACATTTTCTTGCCTTGAGTTTTAACAATTAGGATATGTATTAATCTCTGGTTATGTTGTTTTTTTTTTAAATACAATATAGTTCACGTTATTCACTGATAATGTAACAATTCTACAAGTAAAAGAATTTTCAAAATCGGTCAAGTATTTTTTGAGAATATATATATACATATATATATATATATATATATATATATATATATATATATATATATATATATATATATATATATATATATATATATATATATATATATATATATATATAAAAACTAAAAAAATCCTCATTATAATATTAATTTAGGATAAATTGAGTAAATACTCTTATTAAAGATAATTATTATACATATATAAATAGAGTGTTACATTTAAATCTAGAGTTAAGATTTTAAAACTTATTCTTCTTAAACGTACACCAAAATTTTTAGTGTTTTAAAATCAAATAAACAGACAGACTCTACGGCGTTTATAATAGATACTAATAAACTTTATTGACTTTTTAAGCAACTGCTAATAGCCAATGACACTTAGCGCGAAGTGCCATTTTACTATTATAGTCAATTATGAACAGTTACTGCGACTCGTAGTGATCAATTGACTTAAATAGCTTTAATGACATGATCGAAATGTCAATTACATACATTTAATACTGTTAAGAGCTGCTGTGAAGGAAATTGCACAGTATTGGAATGGCATTTAGCAAGGAATTATGGCATGTGACTTAATCCTCTATCATTATGTATGTCAAAGTGAACAAGCTTTGTCGCACCATGTAGCAAGAAATTGAGTGGGCTCACTTAAATATGCAAACATGAAGTATTGTTCGAAAATAATATTATCTAAGTAGATATTTCTATACAGGATGAAATCAAAGTAGTAAGCATCCTGAAGGAAGTGTGCTATAGGTAGTATGCAGTAAATATGTAGATAATTCTAAGACTATCGTTCTACTAGTGAAACTGAACATTTTCTTTAACGAAACATAGGTCGAAAAATGACAAAAAATTTTGAGTCTCAGATATTTAAATGACGAGTTTAGCTATTGACTCACTGAGGAAGACTCAAATTTGTTGCTTTTTTTCTTAATTTGTCATTTATAAAGTTTCTGTTTATCTATGTTCTGCATCTGCAATGAGAAAGTAGTCTGTATTGATCTCCATCTCAAACACTATGTATATGAAATATCATGATGAGTAGTTAATTTTACACTCCTAATTGTCGACGTTCTGACGTGGATTGCACTACGTTGTGGTCACGACAGGACCACGACATGGTGCAAATCCATCAATGTTTCATCACGTTAAGTTCCGATAGTGTATTTAAAACATGAGTACTTCAAGCGCTAATAATTAATAACCAAATGAACAAACATACTTTTACATTTATATTATTAGTTAGGATTAGTTAAAAAAGACAGTATAATAGGTATATAGTTGATGCACTTTACTCTTTACGGAACAAACAAGGATCACTACATATCGATAAAGAGTAGAGACGATCACAAGAATGCTGACATTTTAAAGTCAAGGCTGTTTCGACGATACTTGTGCCTGGACGGGCGAACATGACGTGTACTCATATTTATTCACTTCTTATTAATAATACTAACCACTAATCAAACATCGAAAGCCAAAATATGATAATATATTATGTTCACATATATGGTTACTTAAAATACAATATACTGCATGATATACCGAATTAAAATTATATTCGGTAGGTTTCTGATATTATAAAGTAATAGTTACAATTAAATTCATAATTTGTTAATAATTTGGTGAGACACCATCAAGCAACAAATACCATTTTCTTAGAAAAATCTCTTCTAAATACCAATACGTTTCTGAGTACATATTAGTGTATTTTAAAAATGCAATAAGTTAATTAGGCGTGTGGTTCAGACATAGAATGGGCTACCCCATTCTTTCATATGAGTATCGTAAGAGGTATCTAAGAAACTTAATGAGCAAGGGGTGAGCAACAGCGTCTCTCTTGAAACTTCATCAAAGCTTAACAGCGATTGCCAACCCGTCTGCCAAGCGTGGCAGCTACTGGCAAAACTCACAGAAGAGGGCGACCTATATTTATCAGTGGTCAGTTAACGGCTGATTTTTTATCCCGGTAACGAGGATTTTTTATTCATCGTCTTCCTGTCCTTATTTCAATTATTTGAGGTCGGAGTAATATTTATCTTACATTTATTTTAATTTGCAGTCATTTGAACAGTATCTCTTCTCTTTCTGACTAAATCATCTTTCTCACAGTCCAGCCATCTCTTTTTAGATCTTTCTCTACTCTTAAAGCCATCTACATTCATACATACATGTCCATATCAAGTCAAAAGGTTATTATTTTTAATAGTCAATATAAATAAACAAACTTACGTTTAACTTTATTCAGCTAATATAATGTAATTTGTG